CCAAGTGCACATACGTGTTGTATGTGCATACAGTATCAAGGGAACATCTTCCCGATGCTGTTCCTGCTAGAAAAGAGCCAGTGGAACGCAAGTCTTTCATCCATTCCTTTTACCTGCCTCAAGTGATTTTGGTCACCTCCGGCCATTCAATCCCCATCCACTACCAAATGTATGGGTTTCATGACCACCTCAGGCCTGGCCTCTTTCCTTGAGCCTAGTCAGGTCCATAAATATTGGGACAATTCTAAAATTTTTGGCTCTATATACCACCACAATGGATTTGAAATGAAGCAAACAAGATGTGCTTTAACTGCAGACTGTCAGCTTTAATTTGAGGGTATTTACATCCAAATCAGGCGAACGGTGTAGGAATTACAACAGTTTGCATATGTGCCTCCCACTTGTTAAGGGACCAAAAGTAATGGGACAATTGGCTTCTCAGCTGTTCCATGGCCAGGTGTGTGTTATTCCCTCATTATCCCAATTACAATGAGCAGATAAAAGGTCCAGAGTTCATTTCAAGTGTGCGATTTGCATTTGGAATTTGTTGCTGTCAACTCACAAGATGACATCCAGAGAGCTGTCACTATCAGTGAAACAAGCCATCATTAGGTTGAAAAAACAAAACAAACCCATCAGAAAGATAGCAAAAACATTAGGCGTGGCCAAAACAACTGTTTGGAACATTCTTAAAAAGAAGGAACGCACCGGTGAGCTCAGCAACACCAAAATACCCGGAAGACCATGGAAAACAACTGTGGTGGATGACCGAAGAATTCTTTCCCTGGTGAAGAAAACCCCCTTCACATCAGTTGGCCAGATCAAGAACACTCTCCAGGAGGTAGGTGTATGTGTGTCAAAGTCAACAATCAAGAGAAGACTTCACCAGAGTGAATACAGAGGGTTCACCACAAGATGTAAACCATTGGTGAGCCTCAAAAACAGGAAGGCCAGATTAGAGTTTGCCAAACGACATCTAAAAAAGTCTTCACAGTTCTGGAACAACATCCTATGGACAGATGAGACCAAGATCAACTTGTACCAGAGTGATGGGAAGAGAAGAGTATGGAGAAGGAAAGGAACTGCTCATGATCCTAAGCATACCACCTCATCAGTGAAGCATGGTGGTGGTAGTGTCATGGCGTGGGCATGTATGGCTGCCAACGGATCTGGTTCTCTTGTATTTATTGATGTTGTGACTGCTGACAAAAGCAGCAGGATGAATTCTGAAGTGTTTCGGGAATATTATCTGTTCATATTCAGCCAAATGCTTCACAACTCATTGGAAGCCGCTTCACAGTGCAGATGGACAATGACCCAAAGCAGACTGCAAAAGCAACCAAAGAGTTTTTTTAAGGGAAAGAAGTGGAATGTTATGCAATGGCCAAGTCAATCACCTGACCTGAATCCGATTGAGCATGCATGCATTTCACTTGCTGAAGACAAAACTGAAGGGAAAATGCCCCAAGAACAAGCAGGAACTGAAGACAGTTGCAGTAGAGGCCTGGCAAAGCATCACCAGGGATGAAACCCAGCGTCTGGTGATGTCTATGCGTTCCAGATTTCAGGCTGTAATTGACTGCAAAGGATTTGCAACCAAGTATTAAAAAGTGAAAGTTTGATTTATGATTATTCTGTCCCATTACTTTTGGTCCCTTAACAAGTGGGAGGCACATATGCAAACTGTTGTAATTCCTACACCGTTCACCTAATTTGGATGTAAATACCCTCAAATTAAAGCTGACAGTCTGCAGTTAAAGCACATCTTGTTTGTTTCATTTCAAATCCATTGTGGTGGTGTATAGAGCCAAAATGTTAGAATTGTGTTGATGTCCCAATATTTATGGACCGGACTGTATATATTGCCTTAATGCCTCATAATCACAATATGTCTAATTCTAGATGGGGGGGAGGTACCAGGTGCCCACTGTTCAAATTCTACTAATGGTTTGAGGCTGTTAGCAGCACATCAACAACCACAGTCTAGAATTACATCATTCTCTGATCTTAGTTTGTTCTGTCCTTGGAGTCTGTCTGTCTAAGTTAGGACTGTCTCTGAATTCCTGCGTACCTTAGTGAGCTGCAGTCAACCAATTTAATACTGTTGTCTTGGCCTGTTAGCAGTTGCTTGTTGCCCACCCCTTCGACTGCTTTTGATCATACCAAAGGTTTAATACGATTGATGGTTTAATGAATGGATGAGACAGAAAATAGAATTCTTGTGCTTATCATAAAATACTTTTCTTGGAGTCATTTGAGGGACAGAGGTCCCACCCCTCTGTGTTTATCATGCTCTTAGTACTGCTTTGCTTTGGTAGTGGGAGGAGTTATCTTGAGCTAGCCTATATTTGTTTTTTTGCTATTGTCCAATCCTCCTGTAGGCAGCTAAAACCTAAAGAATTTAAACTTATGTCCCTCAATGGACTCCAGGAAACAAATTTACAGGGAGTACAAAAAATCCTATTTTTTGTTTTGGTAGAAAGAGGGCCTCCTCGCCTAAATGCTATGGCATGCAGAATGCTGTGCTCAAAAGCCCTCCCCATGCTGACAAACTTCTTTATGTACTTTTGTGGGATTTCTGCAATCTTGAAAGGCCTCAGCCACAAATTTCAGCGTTTAAGTGAAATATCATGAAACTTCAGATGTAATGGAGCGAGCTCCATCTAAATATTCTCAACATGTTCAAATATGGCAGCTACAAACTGTAATTTACATAGGGAATGCAACATGTGAAGACCAGAGAGTGGTAGAAGCAGCTCTGGTATATAATTAGGAAGAAATAAAACACTATTAAGAAATTAACTTATTATGTGACAGCAATGTAGGCCTTAAAAAAATCCAGCCCATCTACATTAGGGTATCTTTTTGCACAGCTATTTCTGAGAGTATCTCCTATTTATGATATAAGACAACTGTAAAAAATATATTTTTTTCCCTAAAAAGGCAGACTTGCTTAATGCCATGTTAGGAACTCGAAAACAGAGATCTTTAACTGGCCATACACAGTTTGACTCTCTCTCGTTGAACCTGCAGGCTGAACAGGAGAAAGTTAATAGGAACCCTCAACTAAGGAAGAATTTCCACTGCCAGATGGCAGGCAGTCACAGTACCCAAGGCTGCCCGAAAACAGTGACTCATTTGATAGGATGAAGTCACTGTTCTGATAAATTGGATTTTTAAATTGCGTTTAGTTGCGCCAGATAGTGCTTTCTGTGCCACACATGACTCAAATGTTAGCAGATTCAGCAGGAATTTATACAATAATGGAAGTATTAAAAGGAAACACAAGAGGATGGTGGGGATTCAATTTACTAGCTGCCACTGGAAACTGAATTCCCTGCTTTGGAAGGTCATAGCAGTTGTACACCTATGCATGTTTGAAGCCAGTATAGTTGGGTCAGTCTGCCATTTTTTTTTTTAAACTTTGTCAACTTTAACTTTTCTGAACCAAACCAACCAAAGAGGAGGCTTTCCATGGAACAACCTCAAATAAGGATGTCAAATTTCACAGGAAAGAAATCTACATTTTTTTTTTTCTGTAGCACCAGCTAACTAGTGCATAGCGACAAGCCTACAAGTCTTCTACTTCCAAATAATACATTACTTTTAACCTGCATCACTTTCATAGGTTTCATTTGCATTTGATTTGAAAGTTTAAAAATCTGGCTATTCTCCATTGAGATATAATTATAAACAGAAAATAAATTCTTACAGCAGCTCTGTCCCTGCAAAGGAGACATTAAGTTTGAGCCTGACCTCCTTTACAGAAGAAAGACTATTGGCCAAAGATCCTGCAGAATTTGATTTCTGGGTGTGTTGATTTTCTGGATCCTTGCTGTGTTCAGTAGTTTCTCCCATCAACCCCTACGTCACTACAGAATACAGTAACAATGTGGACTGAACCATTAAGCATAGCGGGGGATCCAGAAAGTCAACATTCTGAGAAGTGTTGAAATTTGCAGAATCTTCAGCTGGCAGTTTCTCTTTACTACTGTGGAGATCAGGCAGGCAGAATAGTTGAGTGTCCCATATCTTCTGTGCAGGAAGCCTTGGAATACTGTTTTTAGCGACAGAGTCACTTTAGATAATAGAACTGCAGACAGCATAAACAACCCAAATCAGTGTGGATATTTATGGTCACTAAAAATTTTTAAAAAACATTTTTAAACCGCACTACATGCACTGGTGGTGTTCACAGATGTGGGAATCCAGTGGTTTGAAAACGTTTATCAGTAGAGTTGAACAGAATATTGGATGACTGGCCAATCAATGATGCTGGCTTCTGGAATGTATGCCAGTAGGACATCTGTGGTCCACGCACAGGGAAACTATTGTATACAGCACCGAAAAGCCCATACCATGCAATGATCAATACCTATGTGGGCTAAAACAAGTTAGTAATAGTTTATCATTTCTTTTTTTATGCCAAATCTCTAAAGCTGGCCATAGATGGATCAAAATTCAGCCCATTTCAGCAAAAACCAGACAAAATGCAGTCAATCTATCTACTGTTTGACTTCAGTACATCCAACCTGTTGGATTTTTTTTTAAACCAATTACTGGTGGCAGCTATAGCCACCAGCAGTGACCATTGTGTGCTGTCAATGGGATAGGTTCCCTGTTGGAAGAACACAATAGTGCTGTGGAAGGGATTTTCCCATCAACACTGACTGTGTTGATGGGAGAATTGAGCAATTTTGTAATTTTTAAAATTGTATTATCTATGGGCTGCTTTAGTTCCAATTTTCCAAACTACATACTTCGTGTGGTGTCTGCATTTGCAGTGAAAATGGGGAACAAAATGACAGCAGCACTGAGTGACTCCTTTAGCCTCTGCATATTTCCCCATTAGGGTACATGATATGCATACATGCCAGCTCTTTCAATTTTATGTTTTGGGCACTGGGGATGGACAGACGAGGAGTTACTTATTTGACTGGAGCTCCTTTTTAAAGAGTTTTAAAAGAAGAAAAAAAAAAAATGCCAAGCACACTACTTACAGTAGACTGTCAACCTGATGGTAAGTTGTGTGCGCGTGTCAAGATGCAAATTTTTTGCTAAGCAAGTATACAGTCCCGTCTGGGTCCGTAAGATTCTAGGAAAGATGTACATTTGACCTGTGTCCAGCTGAGAGTTATTGTAGAACCAGATATACTCGCATGGAGGGTTAGAGGAGGCTGTGCAGTTCAGAGTAACTTTCTCCATCTCGTTGGCAGCAAAACCGTTCTCACTAATGGCGTATGGCTCAATGGTAATCATAGGCTCGTCTGGACCATCTAAAAGACAGAATCCACATGTGTATAGTCAGTAACTAGTTTCATTTCAGCCCTGGTATTTTAGTTACAAGAACATACATTTAGGGGGACATTATGTAACCGGGCAAACTACAGGGAAAAAACTCTTTCCTTTTCCTTTTTTTCGCCATCTGTGTCCCATTGGGGAGATTTACCTTCACTTCCTGTCCCATAGCCAAACAAGAAGTGAGAGGATATCCTTGCAAATTAAAAAGGGAATGCTTTGGGGATCCCCAGAACTAGCATTCCCAGTGGTAAATTTCCCTGCTGTTACTTTTTTGGTTTTTCTTTACTTTCAGTTGCAATAATAAAAGTAAACAAGACAAAAAGAGAAGGTGAATCTCCCTAACGGGAACAGCCAGAAAAAAAAAAACCTGACAGGTGTTCTAATCCCTTTCTATCCAAAATGAAACAAAAAGTTTTGCGGTTGGTTGTATTTAAAACAAAAATTAAAGGATAACTTCACTTTCATTAAAAAAAAAAGAAATATAGCAAATAAAAAATTGATAATATACTGTAGCATTACCAACTGCTGCACAAGCCATAGTGCAATTTAATGATACTAAAAACTACTTTCCCTTTTGCAGCTGCTGTAATTTTCTGTAAAATTACATTCAATATGGCAACTTGGAAGCGTTCTGTACACTGTTGGTGTACAGGACATCCCTGAAAAATGTAATCTGCTTGAGTGTTTGTGATACAAAAATCGGTATCCGAAAATATATCTATCTATAACACAGTGATACAATAAACACCCTGTATATTGACACTTAAAAGTCCCACTTTCACCCCTGAAAGTTAAAAAAATTGTAAATAATAAACCTTTATAGTATCAGTGAAATTATTTCAAAAACGCCAAAATTTATTCTTCCAAATTTTGATCCATAATCACTGTGCATCTCCAAAAAAAGAAAACTGGATAGTGTATTATCCTCAATATAAACAGTGATTAAATCATATTTAAATATATTTTTAATCCATAAAACTTTAAAAAAAAAACTTTCTGTGCAAACACACAACACATTTTTTGTGTGGTTTTGTGTTTGCACAGAAAGTTTTTTTATTAAGTAAAGTTTTATGGATTAAAATATATTTAAATATGATTTAGTCACCGTTATATTGAGGATAATACACTATCCAGTTTTCTTTCTTTGGAGGTATACAGCATTCTTGGAGATACGCGGTGATTATGGATCAAAATTTGGAAGAATAATTTTTGGAGTTTTTGAAATAATTTCACTGACACTTTAAAGGTTTATCTCCTGCGCCAAAATGTAGATGTAAATGATTGAATGATTAAAGCAGCCTGTATTAGTAGTGCCACAGCCACAGCACCAAAATCAACAACTCTATATAAAACCAATTAATACGGCGCTAAATAAGCAAAATAAGATAAACCATATAATATAGTGGCTGACATATATAAGGAGTGGCTGACATATATATAAAGAGTGAAGTGGACAGCTTTGAGGATAACATGCATGAAGGTGAGCAAAAACGTGAATAATGTCCTTAATGGGTAAACATAAGGTGAATGGTGTCCTTAATGGGTCACACAGACTTCATGCAGGTGTGAGCCACAATGTGGCAATCCTCTACGGCTGGGGTGCCCCCTCACCTTCCTGCTCAGGCCCCCAGGGACCAAAGAGCTTATAATGCTGATTGTAATGATCCTGCTGGTCGGTGGATCCTGCTGGTAATAGTGGTGTCACTCACTCCTCCTGGTAGGTCTTAGTATGGAATAGTAACCTCAGCACTGCCCGTGATGTCTCTCCGATAAAGGCTCTCCAGTACGGTCACCAGTGAGGCAAGAGAGACTTACATAGTGTAAAACCTTTTATTATAATTAAAAAACAACCAAGAGCCTACTTACACGGATCTGATAGTAAGCAGGCCTTTACACCTCTCCAAGGGTGTACTGTGTTCAGGACTTGGAGCACCAAGATGGCGTCCCCGCCGGATGTGACGTCAAGCCGTCAATCGTAGGAAGCTCCTCCCTCTGGCGTATCTACGCGTTACGTCACTCAAACACGTGACTTCATCAGGATATACGCCTACTAGCGGTGGAGCTTGATTTATTGGTCGATTACCCAATCAGCATTGCTGATGGGCGGTGCCGACCGCCATTGGAGTGAAGTACAATAAGGGGCGGACAGTCTTCTAGGTATCTTGGTTAAAATAAAAATAAAATCTCAAACCGAACGATCGTATCGGGGGTGGATATATGGGATGAAAATATATATAGGTGGATTACGGTCACTCAGGTGCAAGCTCCGATGACGAAGTAAGGCAACCTAAAGCGGCACTCTAACCTCAATTCCCACCATAGAAACAATATTATAAAAGGAAAATATAAAATAGTTTTTGGATTAAACCAAATTAGAAAGGAGATAAAATTAGGGGGATCTATAATAAAGATAACCCCTAGTAGTACCTATTCATCAAGGGTGACTAGGTATATAACATAAATATAAAGACCAGATCGCCCATATATACAGTACACCATAGGGTTGGTCAATGACCATAACATGACATTATAATTAACAATACAGAGCCTAATGCAAACATAATGCAGAACATAGAAGGTGTTAGGGGTCTGATTTAATAGTTGCTGATGAAGCAATTCAGGTCGAATTCAACGTTGAGGCCCCTCGGGGCTTGTGACCTCAAAAGGAAAATCCATTTGGATTCCATTTGACTAATAGATCTCACTTTATTGCTCCCCCTCCAGTGTCTTTTATATTTTTCTATTGCCCAGAATTTAAGTTTGGACGGATCATTATGATGGTGGGTGGTAAAATGCCTGGGAACACTGTGTTTAGTGTGGCCCTTTTTTATATTTTGGATATGTTCCCTAATCCTCTTCCACATGGGCCTCTTAGTTCGTCCCACGTATTGCAGCCCACACTCGCACTGGAGACAATATACTACCCCTCTGTGTGGCATGTAATAAACTCCTTGATGGTATATGTCATTCCTGTAGTGGTTGCTTGGAATTCTCTCATTTTCCTATTACTTCCTTTTGTGGCCTTGCAGGCGTAGCAGGTCTTACACGGGTAGAAACCCTTTAGATCAAAAAGTGTATTGCTGCGGTTAATCTGAGGGGGGTCAATCACATTTTTGACTATACTAGTTCTAATGCTGGGGGCCTTCCTATATATAAACAATGGTTTAGTAGGTAGGGCTTTCTCTAAAAGGGGATCCGATTGGAGGATAGGCCAGTACTTCTTAAATATTTTCTCGATTTTTTTATAGTGCATGTTGTAATCTAAAATGATAGATACGCGGTCATCTAGATGTGCCTCCTTAATCTTATCTGTCAACAATTGGGTTCTGTCCATTTTCCCCACTTCGTCGATTTTTTTAGAAATGAGATGTTTACTATAACCTTTTTGTTCGAATCTATCCCCTAGTTTTTGGACCTGGTTGTTATAATCCTCTATCTCGGTACAGTTTCTCCTTAAACGAATAAACTGACCCTTGGGAATATTCAAAAGCCACTTAGGATAGTGGCAGCTGTCCAGTGCAATGTAGCCATTCCGGTCAACATTTTTGAAATAAGTAGTGGTGGTTAATCTGTTTCTTTTGATTGCAATGTTTAGGTCCAAGAAATGAATGGATTCTTCACTGGTTTCCCATGAAAGTGTGGATATTTCGGTCATTAGAGTTAAGCGTTTGTAAAAATAACTGCAAGGAGGTCTCATCACCCCTCCAAAAGATTATCACATCATCTATATAGCGTTTGTATAACGCCAACTCCTTAGGTGTTTGGGAGTAGATGGAATATTTGTTCCCAGTGGGCCATAAACAGGTTGGCCACGCTCGGGGCAAAGCGGGCACCCATGGCAACCCCTCTTATTTGTTTATAAAATTGGTGTCCATGCCAGAAATAGTTATGGGTGAGGCAAAAATCTAGACAGTCAATAATGTACTTCTGCTGTTTCACTTGTAAGTTACTATATTTGTTCAGACCCCAATTAGTGGATGAAATTGCATTATCATGGTCAATTATGGTATATAAAGAGGAGACATCGGATAGAATCGATGCCGTTCACTATGGGCCTCCCTGGGGGGTTATGGAGGTCCTTATGGATTTTAGGGGGGACTAAGTAGATGACCGGTATCCTGCATGTGTCAGGCACAAGGAATCTTACTTCTTTTTTATTCAGGATCTTATCCTGCATTCCTTTATTAACCAAGGATTCTAATTCTTGTTTATAGTTGGCGGTGGGATCCTTTTGTAAGATTTTATATGTAGTAGTGTCTGCCAATTGGAGATTCAATTCCTTCAAGTACTGGTCTTTAGATAGGACTACTATCCCACCTCCTTTGTCAGCTGGTCTGACCACTATGTCATCCCGCTGGGATAATTTCTTTGTACCCATTTGTATCAAATTGTTACCAGATAGACGTGGTAGTTTAAGTTTCTCTATATCTTGTTGCAGCATCTTTTTAAATACTTCAATTTGATTGTTTTTACTTATCTGTGGGTTAAACAATGATTTGTTCCTCAGCTCGGTATGCATATATTGGCTGGCCCCTCTGTTTAGTATTATGTGTATTGCCTGGTATCCCTGCAAAATGTTTTTTAATGTTGAGTTTCCTAGTGAACTTCAACATATCTACATAGATACTAAATTTATTAGCAGGTTTAGGTGGGGCAAACTTAAGTCCCTTATCTAATACTTCCAGTTCTTCTCTAGAGAGATCTGCCCCACTGAGGTTGAAAACTCCAACCCCTAATGGTCTCTTTTTCTTTTTTTCTTTTGCTCCTGCTCTGCAGCCTCTGTGTTTCTTGGGGGCTTCTCCTTCTTTCTCTTTCTGGGCTCTCTACTGCTCTGCCTCTCTCTAAAAAATGGTTATTATGGTCTTGTGGATAGTCATATCTAATTGGATCATACCGATTGTGCATCGGGAGTGGGCTCCTTACATTGTAGGACTGGTAATAGTTCCTGTCGTTATTATAGTAGCCTTGGTCTCTG